ATGTGCACCCCATGTGTGCAGTGCTTGTAGAGGCCTGAAAAGAGCGTGGGGTCCCTTGGAACTGAAGTTATAGGTAGCTGTGAGTTGCATGTTGGTGCTGGGACTCGAATCTGGTGTGGGAGGGATGGAGTGTAGATAGGGAGAGTCCACTGCTGCCTCTGCCGCCACCGACCACAGCTTCGAGGTGGAGAGGAGATAAGTGTTACAGCTCTTTGAAAAGTGTTACAGCTCTTTGAAGAGCCCCAGTGAGGCACTGGCTGGCCAGCAAAGAGGGGAGGGACTGCGACAGAAGCTCTCAGACAACAGGAAGAATCTCACACACCTTTCCTTCTGAGTTTGGCTCATATATACAGTTTTGGGGTAGGTTAAGGTCCGGCAGCAGGTAACCCCTATTGGCTTGGTCTGAGAGCTTGGGAATGCCTCATCTGCATGATGGTGCTACTCCTACATGATCAATGACCATGGGCTTCTCTGTGGGAGGGACTGTGGAGGGCTGAAGCTGAGAGAACCAGAGGCCTAGGAAGAGCCTGAATGCCTTCCATCCCAGCGGTTATCCAGGGTTCCGGGGTTATAAAGCTCATTCTACCAGGCATCTGGCTTTTTGTGGGGTCCCTTGGAACTGAAGTATTAGGTAGTTGTGAGTTGCATGTGGGTGCTGGGACTCGAACCTGGGTCCTCTGCAAAAGCAGCCAGTCCTCTTGATTGATGAACCATCTCTGCAGTCCCCAAATCCTTGTTATGTGGACAAGGTTGTTTTCCTTCTAGCTTTATTGTGTTCCACTTTCCAAACAAACCACTACAGTGTGTGTTCTGTGTCTGTATTAGCTCCTTGTCTTGTCGGCATGGCAAAGCACCTGGCATAAGCAACTGAAGATAGAGTTTATTCTGGCTCCTGGGGAAATCATGGCAGTGGCGGGAGCTTGAGGCCACTGGTCACCTTGCATCGATGGTGAGGAAGCAGAGGGAGACGAATGCTGGTGTACAGCTAGCTTTGTATGTACTCCAGGTCCCAGCCTGTGGGACAGTGCATCCTACAGCTAGGGTAGGTTTTTCCATTTCAACTAACCTAGTCTAGAAATCCTGTCACAGGCATACTAGCTGCTCACCTAACATAATCTCTCAAAGTGTACCAGAGGTTTGTGATCAGAGATCCTGTCAAGCTGACGATCACTCTTAATCAATGTTAACACCCACAGTGAGCTTACCTCTGCATCTGCTGGCTATTTCTCCAGAGATGCCCCTGCTTAGGCCAGAGCTGATGCTGGTCAAAGCAGCAAAAACCCTTGTTTGGGTGCTGGCCACTGAATCCCGAATTTCCTGCCTGGGACTTTATTTCCCAGGTCACTGAGTTAAAGTCCCTGATATCTCTCTCTCTCTCTCTCTCTCTCTCTCTCTCTCTCTCTCTCTCTCTCTCTCTCTCTCCATATTTTCATTTCAAGTTTCCTAACTGTGACCCTCTGGAGCTCAGAATCTCCTTGGGATTTGTGAATCACTGCAGTTGCTCAGCGGATGGTTAGTCTAGAGGCTGTTTTAAGGGCTGTAGATGGAATTTTGACTCCTTGGCTAAACCATCAGCTCCCCTTCTGAGCCGGTAATGAAATCCACACCTCAGACCCCTTCCCTTATTCTACTCTCTCAGGCCACCTGACCCCATACATAAGCTGCACCTGTTTCTCCAGCCTGCCCAACATGGCCTGTGTAGAGTTCTGCTTTTGGTCTCTTCCAGTGTCACCCATTCGGCGCTTACACAGCTGTACCTTCCATGCATCCTGGTGGAGGATGGGTGAAGTGAGGGTGGCCTCTGCCCTCAAGGAGGTACCGGAGCCACAGAAGACTCTCAAAGCCTTATGCTAAGAGGCGCCATCGAAAGGAGGCCGTATCTGACGTGGGGGTTACGAGGGGTGGGTAGAGGTGTCAGCTGACTTCTTTTTAAATATTTTTATGGGTATGGGAGTTTTGCCTGCATGTATTTCTGTACACTACATGGGTGCCTAGTGTCCAAGGAGGTCAGCAATGGGTATTAGAACTTCTGGAACTGGAGTTACAGACAGTTGTGAGCTTCACCCTGATGTGTGCTGGGACTCAGACCGTGTCCTCTGGAAGAATAGCCAGTGTTTGCTATTTTCTTCTTCGGATCTTTGATCAAGACCTTGACCCCATTGGAGTTGCCTTTCTCATGGAGAATGCACTCTTTGATTTTGAGACACACTTCTGCGGCTCTAGCTTATCCTATATTTTTAATCATATTACTATTGTTATGATTGCTGCAGTGCTTGGGATGGAACCCACTGCCTAGGCAAGTGCGCTACTGCTTAGCCACCATCCCCAAGCCCTTCTGTAAGCCCTTCTCTTTATTATTTTGGTTTGGTTGTTAAGCACAATGTGAGAGAGTGAGAAAGCCTAGGAGGGGGCAGGTGGGGTTTTTATGTCCAACACTACTTCTTGGCTTAGGAAAATGGCCCTATGGCTTTGCTCAGCTTGCACACACACTGTCCAGCTCAGCCAGGGGAGTGTGGCCTCTTCTTTCTGAGAAACTCTATGTCCCCATTGCGGATTTCATCCTTCATGTCAGTTGGTCATGATGAAGAGAGTTGACCCTTCTCTGCCCTCCCCTTCAGTTATGATCGGTACCCAGAGCCAGAAGTAGGAGCTGAGGCCCACTGAGCTAGGTCCGCACCCTCCAAGTATAGAGGCCACACTCAGTGCCTCCCTCCCTTTTACACCCCACTTTTCTCTTGTCTCACCTTAGCCCTGCCTGCCCCACCCTCAAAACACAGATAGCATTGCTTATAGAGAAACTTTATCCCCAGTACTCCCTCCCTTAACACTGCTCTGATCTTGGCTCAGACAGCTTCTTCCCACCCCACCCCCTTAGTCCTAACCATTCTAAATGACCTATCAAAAGAAATCGGTGTTTTTAAATTGTTAGCAAATTGATGTCTGACCCACAATACGCAATAAACAAAAAGCAAAATGAAAGCAAGCAAAAATAAAACCAAATCTAACGTTCCTCGTCCACTAACATAATCAAGTTTTTATTTTTTAATTCATAACTTTGCCAAGCTAACTCCGGATTTAAAGACATGATGGTAATTTCTAAGATGCCTGAGTAAGCTGCCTTTGGATTTTAGAAATTAAAAGAATTTTTCATTTCATTTCTTATTAGAGCTGGTTCTGTAGGACTTTCAGGTCTAAATGTAGGATTTTCGGGTTTCCGGTTTGAATTTAAGATTAAAAGAATCCCACTGTCCCAGGACACATCCTGGAAGGGGCACATTCCTTAGTCAGAGGACACTTGCTGGATTAACATTCAGAGGAGGAAGGAAGAGGCTGATTAACATTCCTCAGACCACAGGAGAGGGAACCCACCTGCGGGTGAGGAATGCCCAGAGCACATAGACAGACAAGGGAGGTCCTTGTCACCTCATTCTCCAAAGACCAATCAGTTTAAAAGTCACACTGTTCTGCCAATCATATTGTGCCTAGTCACTATTCTCTATTCTACCCCTTAAACTGTATACAAACTATTCTTAGCTCTAACTCGGGGTTCTCTTCTTGCTTGCATTCGAGAGAACCCCCGTATACTAGAATCATTAAATCTCATGTTATTGCAGTCCATCTGTGAGTTTCTGTGGGACTGCGTCCCCTGGTTCTGGATCTTAGAATCTAACAGTTCCAAAGTGAGCAGTTTGATCTGCATTTGGAACTCCCATGGAGAGGGGCAGAGCAAGCTCCAGGGGCAAAGCAGGGTTCTGAGGGCTTCCTCAGCCTTACATCAACAAACCTGGAAGAGGTTTGAGGAGGAACAGTGATTCAGGCTATTGGAGAGTTTGAAACACAAAGGCTGTAAGATTCCCAGTGTGGTAAGTCCATTTGAATGTGACAGAGTAGGAAGAAGACCTTGAGGTGTTCTTTCTGGTTCCAGTTACTCTTACAAAGGACTCTGTCAGTCTGCATACTGGGTGCTATCCACAGGGATCTGGCCAGGCTGGAATAGCCAAAGAGTTTTGGCTCTCCAAGGTAGAGGGGGAGCCTGAGTGAGGCAGGCTGCTGGGCCGCTTAGGTGGCAGGTGGTGGGACACAGAGCTGGTGACAAGCAAGGAGATGCAACAGGCAGATGGGACATAGTGGGTGGCTTGTAGCCAAGGTCGGGGCCACTGAGTGGGAAATGACCATGGTGGGCTCAAGCAGCTTCCAGCAATGAAAGCTTTGGGAGAGAATTCTCTTCCCTAAGGTGTTACAGCTGTATAAGGCAGACACTCTCAGATGGTCCTTGATGGAATAATAACTCATGCACCTTGTTCCTTGTGGACAGGGTCTTATATAGGTTTTGGGGTGGTTCGGGATCTACAAGCAAATGCTTTCTATTGGCTTGGTCTGAGATGTTGGGGATGCCTGATCTGCATGTGAAGGGGCTTCAGGTGTTGCCCCTAAACGGCTGAGTGTCACAGTCCTCTCCATCGGGTGTGATGGTCATGTGTTCCAGGACAGGAAGCTGGTCGGGATTAGTTTAAACAATACCATCCTCAGATATGAGAATTACCAAGTTTTCTGTCTGACGGCATGGTCCACTGCCGCACAGGACTCTGACCACTGGCCTCTTTAAGAGCATCTCTCTTTAGCCCTAGGAGAGAAAAGTTTGTGAAGGATGAGATTTAATCCTTTCTTCCCTCCTTTCTCCTTCCAAACAACGAGAAATGATACACATATCTAGGGATTGAGAAATGACTTTTTTTGTTTGTTTGTTTTTTTTTTTTTTTTTTTTTTTTTTGTTTATATGTAGAAGTTTAATTGGAATGATTAAAGCATAGATAGGACAGGGCTCATGGGCTCCATTCCATTCTAAGGATTTCTATGTCAATAATACCAGTGGAGATGGGAGACATTTTTTTCAGTGGTGTAGCAAGGTACACACGTCCTGTGAGCAACTGTCACCCATACTGTTAGATTTTGGCGTGCAGCTTAGAACAGATAACACCAGACCAAATGGTTCCATGAGGGCATTGGTGGTTCAGTGGTAGAATTTTGCCTGTCACCCGGGAGGCCTGGGTTCAATTCCCAGCCAATGCACCAGTGTTAGATTTTCAGGGAGGTCTGCCTATTTATATGGGCGATGACGTAGCCTTTTTCCAGGTAAAGGTGAGGTAGCCAGTTGAATTCTGGGAGTGTATAGAAGTTGCCTTGGCAACGATGTAGGGTCGCTTGGATGTTGTGTCACTGAGTTCGGGGCTGATACCAACACATACTCCTGTAAAGAACCTCACTGAGTTAAAAACAAAAGACATGAAGAAAGGTTTAAGATGTTGATATGGTAGTGGTGACTGTGCTCAGATGATCTCCTGTGTTGATCCTGCAAGGGAAGACCTATGTCCTACTGTGCTTCAGGCCCTCAAACCTTACCTTTGCTATGGTTTGAATGTAAACTGTCATCTACAGAGGCTCATGTTGGAATATTGATTCCAGCAGGTGGCGCCCTTTCGGAAGGTTGTGGAACCTGTAGGAGGCGGAGCCTCATGGAGGAAGGGGGCCTCTGGGCTGCAAAGTTCCTCCCCCAGGAAACCAGATATAAACCCTGTTTCCTGCTCGGTTCTGGACTGCTTTTCACCAGTGCAGAGGCAGCTACCATTTTGTGTCTTTCAGTAAATCTTTTTGTGCTGTGCAGTATGACTTTGTGGAATTCCTCTGCTCCCAACTGCCAGCACTGGGGAATCCCTCCTTCTCAGAGCTGTAACACTTCCTGTGGGGAAGCCTTTCCCCTCAGAGCCGTAACATGTACAGTCTGCCACTAGAAGATACGAATTTGTTGAGGACAGTGGCTTTGTCTGAGTCATGGCAGCAGCAGCAGTGGTGCATATCACTGTGTACATCACACAGTGGCACTCAGTTTACACTGATTAAGTGGATAAATACATAACTGAGTTGTGTTGCAATAATAAATGACCCACGTGAGTGGCTAATGATGCGTTTGAGCTCTTTCATAGAGTATTCTGTGTATCCAAGCTGTATTGGTATACACGGAGCCGACAGTTCATTAGGCATCATGGGTAAAACATCCAGCAAGACCAGTGTGGCTCCGGCATGTGGAGTTTAGAGTCTGGGAGGAAATGCAGGCAAAGCATAAATCATTTCAGTGTACTGTATGTTTGAGAGGTACATTTAAATTTTTATTTCTTTGTTCTTTTTGGGAAAGTAAATTGGGTATTATACTTGAAGGCTACTCAGAAGAGCTTGACAGTTTTTGGAAGGGAACCCGGAGCTTTCCAAGGAGTACATCAATTAGCTGTAGTTTTCCCTGCAAATATGAGATCCTTGACTGTGGAAATGTAACTATGGTGGGAGTTATTCCCCCTCACATAACAAGCAGGCTGGTGAGGCCCGGTAAGGATAGCCCCAGGATGCTGTCAGCGTTTCGAGATCTTTTTAACCCTCTGCTCTGCCATTCCAGGTATCATGGCTATAACGAAGCGTTTTCCTTCGGCCTCCATATTCTTTTTGCTCATTTAAGAAGGAAATAATAAAGAGGGAAACGAAAATCCTCCTGAAATCACTGTGAGATTTCTTCTCTCTCTCTCTCTCTCTCTCTCTCTCTTTCTTTCTTTTTTTGGGCTGTATATTGGAGTTAGGGAGATGGCTCAGTGGTTAGGAGCACGTTTTTTTCTCTTGCAGAGAACCTGGGTTCAGTTTCCAGTATCACAAGGCTGTTTACAACTAACTCCCTGTAACTCCAGTTCCAGGGTCTCTGACGCCCTCTTCTGGCCTTCATGCGTGGTGTTAGGTCTCAAAGAAACATGGGACAAGTGTCTCTCAGTGCCTGTGGCTCCTCCCAGCTCTCCCAGCACCCTTCAGTACTTGTGGCACCTCTCCACATTCCCAGGATCCCTCAATACCTGTGGCTCCTCCCAGCACTTCTTACCCCGCCCTCAATCCTAAACCTCTCCCTCCCAGGCACTGGGCTTCCACTTCTCTTCCCCTAATCTAATTCCCGTGTAACCCAGCAATTTTAGCTATGCAGCCTTCTTGGCTTCTTGGCCCCAGGTTGCCTCTCTTGGTTGGCAGCTCCTCTTTTGTTCTCCCTCCCCCCTCTCCTCTCATGGTCTGGTTTAGTCTGCTGGCCATGTCAAGCCTGGACTCTTGCGTCCCTATGTCTACAATACAAATCTCCTCCATACTTTAGGAGTACCCACGACACCTTCCTTTTATTTCACATTTTCATTCACATGGGCATCAAGAGCACACAGTGCACACGCATGCAAGCAATCCAACACGCACGCACATAAAAATAAATAAATTAAAAAATGTTAATATGTTTATCATTATATGCAGGGAGACTGGGGATAAACACGATCCGTCTTTACTTATTTTGTGCGGGCATGCATATGTGTGCACATGTCCTGGTACACAGGTAGAGGTCAGAGGTCAACTTGAAGGAATTGGTTCTCTCACACTTTACAGTCACCCATTTCATATATGTCCCTTAGAGGAGGGGTAGCTTGACTCAAGAGAGGAGATGGATGGTGGAGGGAACTTGAGGAACAGGTTTCTGTCCTCTTTGTAGGGACATACAGTCTATGGTGAGGGACAGGAAGGCTTTAGAAGACCTACTTTTCTTTAAAGGGTCAGTTAAGTTGTCTTAGCATATCTTCTCCACCAGCTGCTGGACAACTAAAAAGATGCTTCCCTGAGATTACTCCGGAGAATTGCTGTCTTGATGAAAATCACAGCCACAGTAGTTCCATGAATTAACTCCTGCAAAGAAAGCCAAGCCATGAGTTTTGGGTGTAGAGTGTCTCTTTAAAAAATACTTTAAGAGGTTTATTTATCTTATCTTATGTGTATAAGAGTTTTGCTTCCACTATGTAAGTGTATGCATAGCTATTGTTCATGGGGTTACAGAGGACTGTGAGCCATGACATGTGTGTTAGAAACCGAACCCAGGTCCACGATATGAACAACAAGTGATCCTAACCACTGAACTATCCCTCCAGTCCAGATGATCTCCCAACAATCACCAATGCCATCTAATGTACACTGAAGACCGGTACTCTTGGCTCTAGAGTAGTGGTTCTCAACCTTCCCAAAGCTGTGATCCTTTAGCATAGTTCTTCATGTTGTGGTGACCCAAACCTTAAAATCATCTTCATTCTTACTTCATAACTGTAATTTTACTATTACTATGAATCATAACGTAATATCTGATATGCAGGATGGCTGATATGCAACCCCTGTGAGAAGGTCATTGAGCCCCAAAGAGGCTGAGACCCAAAGGCTGAGAACTGTTGCTCTAGAGAACTGGAAGCTGGAGGAAGAGCTGGAAAAGTCCCATGATGGAAACCATCCTTTACATAGGATACCCATACTCATCCGAGAGGGACTGGTAAACTGGGTCCCTGGGTACTAATCTTAGGGGTATAGGGTGCAGAAAGGAAGGCCAGAAGGGCTCTCAAAGGTTTGTAGGTTGTAATTTTGTAGGTGTCTGCTCTGAGCAAAGATTTCGCCAGCCTCATTCACCGTGGGACATTAAGTGCTATGTGACAGGCAAAGCCAGCGCAGAAGCAGCATTGTCGTGTAAAGGTACAACTGTCACTGTACACCTTGGTCTTCTGTTATAGCTCTGAGATAATTTTCTGTGTGGACACACAATCCCCTATGAGGAAGAAAAATGGGGAGAGGAGGAGGGGGGAGGGGGAGAGGGAGAGACACTCTGGCTTTAAGCCAGCTTTCCTGTTTTTCAGCTCACCTTCCAACTCTGCATGTTTCTGAGCTCTTCCCTTCCCATTTAACCTCTTGGCAGACATCTTTGATGAGCATATACATGTTTCTTCTAGTGTACACTGAATGCTCCTTGACCCTGTTGATTACAAGGCTGCCTGCAGACTGTATCTTGGGTGTTTTATAACCAGCACCATGTATTTTTTTTTTTCCAAACTCTTGGAGGTATTTCCCTTGCCGTAGCTTGGCCTTCTAGAAAGGCTGTAGCTGCAACCCACACACCACATGAATCACAATGAAATTTGATTCACAGCTAGTGGAATCTTCAAGAGTCAAATCATCCTAGTGAAAAAGATTGGGCCGAGGTGCAATTAAGGAAGATTCAGTTCAGCTTGGAATCAAAGCAGCAAAATACATTTTAAACACAAAAATTCCCATTCTTTACATGAACATCTATCTGTATGTTTGAGACCCTATCATGGTGGGACTCCTGGTTTAATAGGATGGGAGAAAATGGGTCCCTGAGTTAAAGGGTAAGTTAGGCCACCTATGCTTGAGGTTCTCGGGGCAAGCTACTTTCCTACATCTGGAAAGTAAAACTTCCCAGTTTGTTAGAACCTGCCAACAAATCCCTTGTTCTTTTAAAAAAAAATTATTATTTTTAATGTCTGAGTTTGCTTTGTGTTCCTCTAATAAATGCTATGACCACATGCAGGTTCGTGAAGGAAAGGGTTTATTCCATGTTACACTTCTAGGCAAGAGCCCATCACTGAAGGAAGTCAGGGCAAACTCAAGGCCCGAGCAGAGACCATGGAGGAACGCTGCTGCTCTCTGACTTTTCAGCTAGCTTTCTTAAATAGGCCAGCTGCCTGCATAAGGATGGCATTACTCAGGATGAGCTGGGCCCTCCAAAATTGATTGTTAATCAAGACAGTGCCTCACAAATAATTCCACAGGCCAATCTGATCAAGGCAATGCCTCTATTGAGGCTCCGTCTTCCCAGGTGACTCCAGATTGTGTCAAATTAACAATAAATTAATCAGCATAATTTATGTGTGCCTGGGTGTATGTATGTGCACCATGTGTGTGCAGGCACCCCAAAAAAAAAAAAAACTGACTCCAAGTTCTTTGTAAAAGCAGAAACTGCTATTAATTTCTGAGCTGTCTCTTCATCCCTACCCAGTCTTTGTTTTCTGTGGTTGCTTATTGGAGTCTACAGAATATCATGGCTCGTGAAACACTTACCTTGATTTCCAGTAGGTTAATAAATCAGTCCTTGTTCTAATGAGTATTGGCATAAAACAAACACAGTGTTGGAAGTCCAGGAAGCAGTGGGCCAGGCAGGTTTCACTAGGCACCTG